AACTTTAATATAAGTTTAACATGACAGCAAATGTACAACGTTTTGACAAGGATTTGTCATCATCAGGTGACACTTGACGACCTGATGATGACAAAACCTTGTTGAAACGTTGTACATTTGCTGTCATGTTAAACTTATATTAAAGTTTTTCTTCATTACCCATTTAAGCCGTCTCCAGCCATTATTAGTCTCAAAGTGGGTTCCTCGTCATCGAATTTTAATACTATGTAGATATCATGTGATGATGACAAAACCTTGTTGAAACGTTGTACATTTGCTGTCATGTTAAACTTATATTAAAGTTTTTCTTCATTACCCATTTAAGCCGTCTCCAGCCATTATTACATAATATTAATAATGTTTAAAATTAAAGCTCCTCTTCTCCTTCATATTAACTAATTATATTTTATAAGCTTAAAGTCTGTGATGACTAGAAACTTAAATACGAATTGAAACATAATCAAATAATACGCTAATAACGATTAACAACAAAACATTATTATTAATAATAATATTATAAACTGTAATGCCCTATCCATATCCTAGGAATATAGACTTCAAAGTTCAAGTCACCAGTCAAACAATATCCTTTTGCATAGGCATGGAACTTGAAGACCTACCAATATTTAAACCAGAATTCGCTGAAAAAAAAACAAAAAAAAACACCAATTCGAACAGAGTCTACCACTACAAGTAGTACCAGTACCAAGTCGTGACGTAAACCTTTGAACATAGATCTAAAACTTAAAAGTAGTCCTAAGTTACTAATTTAGTAATTAAAATCGGCTGTTTCTAGGCTTCATTTTTCCGTCAAGTTTAATTTCATTTATCATTATATGAAAGAAAACAGTTTTCTTACTTCGTGAACGCATGTCCAATATCCAAAATTACTGTATGCTTCTCCGCAACAATTCCTATTCCTTCGTACAGTGGCATTTTATTTGACGATTTATTCGATCAGCAGACCAAAAATATATTTTAATGTTATGGTCGCCATAAACACAATCAGTAGTGACACCATTCTGGAGTGAAAATAAATAATAATAATATCATTATTGATAATAAAAACTATATGGCAGTTAAACCAAAATATGATTTTTTTATGTATAATCCACATCGAAGAATAAAGCAGAAGAATTGAAGTTGTTATTAATAATTTCATTTTCTTTTTACTCTATAGAATCATGTACCCACACTAAATAGCAAATTTTCAAGTTTACTTGACCAATAATATATTTATTGTTTCGGTACGCTTTACATATTTGGTGTAGTTACTATATTATGGTCATACAACAGCTTAAGAATAAATGAGGGAAACGAAAATAACAGAACATTGCAGAAAAATTAAGCCCTCTATCTTAAAAAAGCAGAGATTAGAATACGAGATTCCACTGATTTGAACAGTATTTCCAATATAATACTGTAACCAACTAGCTGTTGCAACTTTAAGTGTGTTTTTTTTCGACAGATTCTTTTCCCTTTTCATGATTTCTTATATTTTGTTGTCCTTTTTGAAATTTGATTACACTTTGTTTTTCAATACTTAATAAAACGCCCGAGAGTAATGCAGGAAAGGGAAGTAAGGAAAAAGCGTTACAGATGTTGAAATACGAGGATAAACATAAAATTGGTCCAATTATTTTTTTTCTTTATTGGTATTTGAACATTAGCAGGAAAGTCAAACATGTAAAATTCACTTTATAATGGCCTTCAAAGCAATCCATATTCCTATTATTCGTCGCTAGATGAAGTAACTCCAAAAGTAAGAATGTCAAGTGCAGTAAAGAATGTTGAATTGAGTGTCTATTACACGAGCACCTAACATCCGTGGCCAGTGGATCTATACAGTGAAACTTTTGCGATGTATACTAATTATAGCCCTAGGGGCATGAAGCAATGAATTTAATATGCGTCTACTTATTTGAGGCACTTGCCTACTTATTTTTAAAGGTAAATAGATATTTATTTTTGAAGCATCTACAGTAAAGCCGAGTATTTGGCTCCTAATTCACCTGAGAATTGTTTCTGAATTACACTGGATAAAATGTGATATTTGAAAAGTTTTTTTTTGGTGAACAAAACTTTAAAATAGTGTTACGTCTCTGATCGTTTGTTAATTACCCGTAAAAGTTCTTTCCGAAGAACTTCAGCGATACAAGTCCTTTCTTAAATAAAACTAGTTTATTCTTTCTCAATACAACTTTGCAATACACTTAATTTCCACAGTCACTTTAACTTAAACTCACGCTATAATTCACAATGATTTATACACTTTACTTACGGCTTGACTCGATTATCTGTCTATATTTTCAATCTCTCTGTCTGTTATTCCAGTTCCGATTAATTGTCTCGCTTTATCTGGCGCGCTTATATACAGGAATAGAGGGCGTCTAGCAAATACTGGGTTATTCATGATGTTTCCCAATCCCTCTAGAAACTCATCACGTGTTACCAGAATCACGTGACTTCCGCTGTTGTAACAATAGCTTTTATAAGCGGAAACATGGAAGCTCACTGATTTACAGTGTTGTCTGTAAATATGTATGCTTTGGTAGCATGTCACTCAGTAGAACTTAAGAAAGAGTTGAGTTTTTGCCTGAATGTTAAGACTGCCAGACATGGTGAGTTGATACCTTTGAAAACATTGGCGCCTTAGCCACTAGTTGGTAACGGCATTAACTGTGAGCCTCTGTTCTAACTGAATGGAGATCAGCAGTAGTGAGCTAAAATTGTCTAGCCTACTGAATTTCAAAGGTACAACAAAAGCAAATTTGGATCCTTACTTAAAAAATTTGACAAAATAATGCTTGGAATTCTTTGGACACAGGAACAGTTGTTTCAACAAATGATGTTGAATTTGAAGGGACCAACACTGTAGCACTTGATGGAGAAGCAATTTGGTAAGAAACAGAACCAACTACTAGGTAGATTTGGAAGGGAAGAGATTCTAGAGTACCATGTATACTTCAGTTAATTAAAAGTGTAAATACATTTCAGTTGCCATATACAGATGAATAATGCATACATATTTTGGAAGCACCAAGGGCTGCCAAGAGCTTTCATGGACCCATGGAAAGGATTGGTATACATTGATTCTTTCTTATCTTCTCTAGTGCACCTTTCAGGCCCTTGGGCCTCTAGGGAAAATCTTCTGGCCTATTAGTAGACATGGAAGCATCCTATTGGTTTAACACACTACATTAGATATCTGGCTACTGATAAGTATAATTAAATTACTATTGCAGACTTAAGACTGTTTTCAGCATTAATTTATGAACTGTATGAACTTAGTGTTATGTCATTTGACTTTTGTAGTGTTTCAGCCACTTCCAAGTTGATAAAGTGTACACTACGAAGCTTGAAACAGAAGAGATGTGTAAGTTAGATGGACATCATTCTTATATTTGGCGGCAAGAGCCGATCTACTGCTGAGAACCAAAAATAGAAAGACAGGAAAAGTAGATTTAAAGATGAAGATAGAAAGTGTTAAGTTATGTGTATGTGTGTGGAGGTTGTGTTTGTCACATATAAGGCAAGGTTAGAATCTTCATTGTTTGTATGAAGATCACAAGGAACTGACTCTAATCTATGACGTTAACAAGAAGATCGAATGTTTGCCGGTTTTGCATTATATTGTGCCTAGTGATTAGTGTGATCGACTTGTAATCCGTGATTCGCATGATCGAACCAGTCACTAAGCACGCTTGCCCTTTTACGCATAAGGGCGTTATAATGTCGCGGCCAATCCTTCTATTCATTGGTAAAGAGTAGTCGAAGAGTCAGCAGCGGAAGTGTTATCTAGTTGCCTTCCTTTTAGTCTATCACTTCAAAATTAGAACTGGTTTAGCTTTGTGCGAAATTCAACAAAACACACAAAGACCAGTGTGTTAATGCCATTTTGTGGTCAACTTCTCTAAGATAGCTGCACTGTTGTCTGCTATGAATAAAGCTTGTCGAAATTTTAGAGGAGATGGAGATAGTTGCCAAGCATTTCAATCACTAAAACTTGTTTTAGTTGAAGTTTCATTGTTGGTTTATTCCAAGTAAAATTGTTCATAAACGCGAAAAACAGATGTCAATAAGAGTGAGTATGTGGCTCATAATTATATTTATGAGTAGTATTGAAACCGATATATTTTGAAGGCTGCTACTGCATGAAGAAAGAACTACAGTTTTGGCCAAAATGTTTCGTTATATTGTAACAAATAAGATAATTTTTTTTAGATGAAATACAAATACACTTAGCACTGTCAAACTGAGAAATGCGTTTTATATGAAACATCTGCATATGTAATTTATATAATGATACAGGTTCTATGAACATCATGAACGATTTATTAGCACATCGAACAATTTTATCAGACACCTGTAGAAAGATGTGTAATTCAGCATTTCACCTATCACAACAAAACCTTACCAAATATATATAATGACAAAATAAAATTAGCCTTTGTAACCTGATGTCAGTTCATATTAAATGTTCAGTACTTTGATGGTCCTCCTCGTACTCTAATAACTTCCACAAGGCGACGTGGCATGCTATCGATGAGGTTATTGATGTAATCTACCTTGATGTCATCCCAACTTGTCACTAGAAGCCACTTCAACTCAGCTGTAGTGGCTGGTTTAGTGTCGTGATTAGCAATTTTCCAGCTCTGTTCTGCCCAACATTTCTCAATGGGATTACAATCTTGAGACTTTGCTGGCCATGTCAATTTTGTTAAGTCTACTCCTGGTCGAGATAATCCTGTACAATATGTGCACTGTGGGCAGTGGCATTGTCTTCTTGTAACATAACGTTATTGCCAAGCCTTGCCCTAGCAAGAAATATAGCGGAAATGTCGTCTCCTTGTGATGCCTGAAGGAGGCGTCATTAATGTTTTCCTGAAGGGTATAAAGAGCAGTTTTCCACCATGATGGACAGCTACTCAAACATGTACTGCACCACCTCCTGTGGGAAAAACAGTCTTTCCTCATCTCTTCTCCAGCCAAACTATGAACAAATCCTACCAGCAGCTTTAACAAGTCGGAAACAGGACTCATCTGAAAAGATGACAAATTGCCGGTGCTCTAATTGTAAGTTGGCATGTTTTCTTGTTCAAGTAACATGGTGACAGAGGTGAACTCTGGCTAATATCAGTTTTCAGATAGCCCTTCCTGCAAAATAATCTTATTTGGTTAGTCTTATATTCACTGTTCTTCTGGATACCCTGGAATAAATGTGTTCATGCCATTCCTATCGTAAGGTGTTGCAAGACTTCTTTCGACCTTGATGTATTAACCTGACCAAAAGTTGGTCATCTTGTGCAGTAGGTTTTCGGCATCTCCCAGTAGACTTTTCTATAGTCCGGGCCCGGCGTGGCCAGGTTGTTAGGGAGTTCGACTCGCAATCTGCGGGTCGCGGATTCGAATCCTCCATCTCGGGCAGCAGTTTTTCGGCATCTACTAGTAGATTTTCCTGGAACAACATTTCCTGTAGTCCGATTACGCCTCAGGATGCTAGATACAGTAAACTTGGCGTACTCTACTATTCTGGCAATGTCCGTATGATTTATACCATTTCTGGACAGTCCAACAATTTGATGTCCTATAACTTCTGGCACGTGGCAAGGTGTGATTCGACACCAAGTACAGAGAAATTGTCTGAACAAAGCATTTTATTCAAAACAGATGTGTATATGTGTTTTGACGAACAAATGCTCAAAACAATTTATACAGAACAGAACAACAACTCGTATGTGTTTGTCACATCATGCTCTACCTTCTCTGTTACTACACGGGCATTTACTCAAAAACTACTTCATTCACATAGAAAATAGCATCAATATAAAACAGTATGCAAAGATTTTGGCCAAGACTGTCCTTGCAGTACTTGGAATAAACGCCATAAATAGGAAATGAGGATCCTTGGGAGAAGAAATTGAAGGATCCATATTTGGCTTGGACACTACTTGTTTGCACATCATTGTGAAGTGTGGTTTTCTCGTGTCAGAGAATTAAACATAGGTGCTTTTAAGCCGTAGCACTTG